TTCAATAATCACACAATGTATTTCCAACTACTCCACATTCAATGAATGAAGTTGCAGATGTGAATCGATTGATGGATGGATAGATGGATGGATGTATGCCGACACACTGATTTGATGAGTAAACAACCACTGTGAAACTTGGTTGTTCTGTATTCGATTGGTGATTATGATCAAGGATGAGTAGGGTGGATGAGCCGTACAACGAGAATGAGATAGATGTCATTCTACCACTTTCCAGTTTTCAATGGTTGTCCAACTCAGATGAGTCTGTGGTGTGAAGTAGAACGTCTATCATCCAGTTACATGGAATGCTGTATATTACTCAATTTCATTTCATTCAGCTCAAATCAAATAGCGGTATATTGTTATGAATTTCCTTTGTTGATGATGAATGACTTATTCTACTGTCTATTGATAAATGTTATTTTACAATTAATGACTTTATCGATTTATCATCAATCATTGTGTCACACTGATTGTGAAAATCAAGCAAATTTGACTTGAAGTGGAACAGGTTTTCATTTTTTGACATTGTGTATGAATGTTTAGTTGCTAACGGATTTGGAAGGAATTCTCCATTGAAAGTATTATTTTCATTTATCAAACCGTGGTGTATGCTACTTATGTTTACTTTCCAAGATATATAACAGAAACAAAGGTCAACTAGAGAACGGATGCATAATAGAATAATAAGACAAAACTATATGGCAAGAATCATAAATCTGTAGTTCAACTAGAGAAAACTGTGATAACCTAAAATTTTCATATTTTAAATAACGAGCTGATCTGAGACAACTACTGGAAACCTAGAAACACAGTACAGTTGTATCTTTTTAGTATGAAACTACTAAGCAGTTTGCATCCACAACCCCACCACCGAAGATCTAACATACAACCTACAGTCTCGCATGTGAAAGCTTAACTTCTAGATCATTAAACTTGTATCCAATAGTGTAAATATTTAATTTTAATCATTCTATTACTTACGGTAGTTAAAAATTTAGCTAAAATCAGTTTGTTGTTTAAATTACCAGAGTTTTTACAATCTCCACAACCTCTCACCATACACTAACTCAAAGTTTTATCGTCAATTATTTAACACCCAAGACTGTACGAGTTTATTGAGATTATGAAAAGATCAATGTTGTACAGGTGATTGACTATTTGCACTCAGTAGCTAAGTAGATAACGTGATGGTTATATTAAAACCATTTCATTATTATTTTCCTTGTAGTAGTTTATCCATCAAATAATTTTAATTATATACGTCATTTGTAGTAGATATTTTTTCAACTGATCAGATGGTTGATGATTATCGATGAAGAACTATAGTAGTTGTCCAATCTTTAATTTATTAGATAATCTCACAGATTGAAATCATGAGTCAACTGACTCATGATTTCAATCTGTGAAATTTCTAAAATCTCCACAAAACCCATTCTGATAATATTAGATAATCATTAAAAACCAGATAGAATTAAATATCTATTCTGTTATAGTAAGGAGTGTTGTGACGGGCGGTGTCCAAAATCTGATAGTGAAACACGATTTGCTCCACGCTAACCCCCCCCCATCTGACTACTCGAGCGAGAAAACAAGAATGAGCTAGAAAGTGTGCTGGACTCATTCATATATGTATACCACTCTAATCCTTAGGAAATTGATCCATTTCTTAGCCGATGAAATGTACTAGTCCTTTAAGTTGCTTATGATTGACATTGATTGACCTTCACATTAGGCTAGTTCTAATTCGCTCCCCATATGAAGGAACTTTTCATTTGGGGACAATCATAATTGATAATATTCAATTTTAAAAAACTGTCGAAAACCATTTTTTTAAAAATTGAAAATGCTTTTAAGTTACTCAGTGTTAGTAACCAGTCGAACAAAAAATGACGATTTTAAGGCACTTGAAATCTATTGAATAATGCAAGATTGTTAGTGTTGTTGTCAATTATATAATGAATCAACTTTGGCTAACTAGTATAAAACTAATAAGCATTGTTTCGCTCACAAATGTTCCATAATAATAATAAGCTAAGTGGATAACTTGATGGCTTTTGATGCGAATGGTACTGGGTTCGAGTCCTAGAGTGAACTTCGAAACTGGGATACAGCTACATCCACCTGACGAATCCCAAATGGGAGAAAACGTGTCTCCTGAATTCTACTACTAACCACCATCAATCTTTGCCTATAATACTCGTGAATTATGGCAATATCGAGGCAATACGTACAGGATGTACATATTCCAATAAAAGATTGATCAATTGCAATCTTAACACATCAATGGGAAGATTCAAACAAGCAACACAAAGTGAGTTAAAATGAAGATTCGTTTATTTTTTTTCTCCAATTAAAACATTTAATCAGCAAGCTATATCACTATGATTAAAATAATTAATATCCCTAACATAAGTTAGGCAACTTATTGTCTAATGAATAGTAATACGTATATCAATAATTGAATGACCTTTTCTTTTATTACTAAACTCATTGTTAAAAAGTTAACAAATTATCTGATATATTACTAACCTATTTACTTAATTCGTTATGTTAGTATGTTTTATATATTCAACTTATATTGTAGTATTATGATAATCACTATAACATATTATAAATGATTAATTCTAGATAATCGATGCTAAAACTAAAGAGTATCCAATGAATTCTGTTCCCATTTAAAATATATATTTTTCGCCTGTATATATATATATATATATAATATTTCCCCTATAAGCTACTTATTAGAGAAAAGAAATAGATTAATAGAATCTTAATTAAAGTTAAAATAATTCTTGATTTCATTACTCAATTATCATTAATGTTAGATAATTATTATGTTTATAAGCAAAGATAAATAGTGACTAGTAGTAGAATCCAGGACATGCGTTTTGTCCTATTTAGGACTCGTTAAACGGATACACCTGCATCTGAGTTGATGTTCACTCCGGGACTCGAACCTAGTACCGTTTGAAGCGACTTGTGATTTAAGGTAATATCGAGGCAGTCCACACAGGATACACATATGCCAACAAGAGACTGATCAATTGCATTCTTAAATAACAATAGGGAGATACAAGTAAACAATACTAAGTGAATTATTATGTTTATTGAAAAAAAATGCCACTTTAGCCAAAATGTCAGATTAAAGATAATGTATTTTTTAGTATCAAGGGACGGGGGTGAGATTGTGAAAACTGTCAAATTTTATTGAGATTATGAATTGATTTAAGTTAAACAATCGTTGAAAACATGGAAGTAGTGATCATTTATTTTGTCCTAATATGAGACTATTAGATAATGGAAACTCATGACCTCACCACTAAGGATGGGACCCAGGATTTTCAGTCTAACGTTAGAATGCTGAACCTATTGATCAATGAATCAGCATAGAACAGTGTACATGTCTAGCTTCAATTGTTGTGGGTATTAATTTAGTTAAAATCAGTTCGTAATTCAACTATTAAAATTCTAAGTTCTCCACAAACCTCTATATTATGAACATTAAACCCAACTAATTTACTTCGGATGGTAATAAATTAGAATCACACTAATCTATTGAAATATCTACGAAAAATAATCGAATTCATAAAATTTATTCCTACTGAACAGATTTTTAGTCATTTCGTATATTTAGATAATAAGTTAACATGCTCCAATCTAACTTAATACTCATCAGTAAAGGGTTGCGGAGATTGACAAGTTTTTGATTGAGATCATGAATCGATGAGTGTTAGAACACCATTGAAAATCTGGAAGCACTGAACGGCCGTTTCGTCATGATAAAGGACTTCCCAGCAGTGTATCCACGATCCCGCATGAGGGATTCGAACCCAGGAACTTCGGTTTGTCATTCCTATATTCAATCCAGTATTGCAGCATAATCAGTTAGTGAATACGTTATTTAGTTGCTGTGTATCGCTCTCTCCTCAGTAAAGAAATAATTTTATTCTTCTTTTTGACATTTTTAATGGAATCCTGACAAATTTTAAAATGCATGTCATTTAAATTCATATTCTACTACCTAACATCTGTGGTTATTCAGCATTACATATAGCTTCACTAAAATCTTACAGAGGAAGAATTTACGAGATAAACAAATGAATCCGCGTCAAATGTTGTCATAGCATGAAATAAATGGTAATTTTTTTTTCAGAAAATGTTTAACACCTATCAACATGTCCCAAAGTATTATTTCTATTTTTAACTAATTGATCGCTAAATAGTATCCAGTGTCATGTTTACTTGGTCATTCTAGTACTGATAGAATCCTATCCACCATGCTGAATTATGGCTAGCAGTCTAAATGACTCGAAATTGTATTTACTATGTCAGGTATTTGGAGGTATCCAACAGAAAATCCTACTTGACCTTGGTTCAATGTTACTTAGCATTCATCAGAAAGGAATACCTGTAATCTTAAGAGAACTGCCCATTTCAGGTAGGTTTTAAACGCTCACTAAATGTCTCAGTGATATCACCTTTGAGAACATCACTTCTCTCAAGTTTAATGGTATTTCTCATTGATGAATGACAACTAATATGAGATATAAGTCAAATAGAATTTTCTGTTGACTTCCTCAAAACCCCTAACATGATAGTAATGTAATGAACAAGAACACAAACTTACATAACATTTTACTAAAATCTGAGAACCATACAGTATATACTTCATTTGAAAATGTTAATCAATTGCCTCAAACTTAACTGTTCCTTTTGCAAATATCAGTCAATCGTCTCACACTTCAATGATTTTGCATTTCTACACTAATTAATTTCTGTTCCTGTCCTTTCCTTCTCGATCTTCTTGAGTTTCTACTGTCAGACATTTTATTCCTGACTAGTGTTATATACTACTTATATCGATATAAGTAGCTAACATCACAGTAACTTTATGTACCACAATTTCACTACATTTACTCCCATATTTCAGTCAAAAGGATACAAAATGATATCGTAGAACCATTATAAATTTCAAAACAGATTATAATACTTACACCAAGTGAATGATAATATTGATATGTTGCTATATTATCATATAAACTTGCTGTAAAATTTTCTTTTAATCTAGAATATTTAATTAATATACGTATACATTGAAAACTTGAACGATCTTTTGAACATTTATTTTCACATTTAACAGATGATGATATTAATTTTGATTCAATATAAGTACAATTCGTTGGTAAAAATCCCGATTCATGACGACATGGTAATATAACTAAATGTATTAATATACATTCAATGATAAAACATGTTGTAATAATTGTAGCACATGTTAAATATATTAATTTTATACATGTTTCATGATATTTATGTTGTCTACCTTTCCATACTGCATGATGATGATGTTGTTGATGATGATGATGCTGATGATGATGTTGATGATGTTGATAAAGATGTGAATTGGTAACTTTATTATTATTTAAAATAGAATGAGACTGATGAATTCGTTGAGAATGTTGATTAATATTATTATTATTATAAGGTGATTGAAATCTTTCAAATTTCTCTTCAACTAGTTCTTCTTCATTATTTTGGTTATTGAAAGAAATTTCTTGTACTTCATGGGTGAAATCATCCATTTTTGGCAATCATCATTTGTTTTTCTTCCAGTGTGAAACTTAATATTTATTATAACTATTATTACTATTATTATTATTATTATCCTTCAGTAATAGTCTTATCCATTCTTATATATCAAGGAATCAGTAATACTATAAACATACGTGATAAATACTAATTTAGTGTTGAGTTAACTAACTTCTTTAAATGGCCAATCAAAATAGAATTAAAGAAATTCACTTCTGATTGGTTTAAGTGTAATAATAATATTATTAATTAATAGTTGAATTCATAAGTCAATTAGTTAGACCACCATGAAAAATTTGAAAGCACTAGACAGTTGTTTTGTCCTAGTATAGGACTCTTCAACAGTACACATCTATTGTGGTTTTCTATAGTGGTCTAGCTTTAATTTAATTCATGAATTCAACTATTAAATTACTACAATCTCCAAGAAAAAACCATTTTCTGATAACACTATTATTTCACAAGTTGAAATCATGGGTCATTTGGTGGTCTAGCTTCAATTGACTTATGATTTCAACCAGTGAACTTTCTAAAAACCTCCACAAAGCCCATTCTGATAATAATAATCACCTGCTCACTAGTGACTGACTTCAAGAGACACTCCTGGAGTTCGAGTGAGAAGTCGTTACCAGTGGATTTCAACCAGGTCTGTTGTGAGATAGGAACTCATTGATGACAATGGTGTACGGTGGCGCAACTTCGTGGATTGGTTGAAGTTATACATTAACACAGCTGGATGCCGGTCCAGTGGTCTAATGGTTGAGTGCTCGCGCACGAAACCAGTAGGTCCTGGGTTCGAGTGGTGTGGGGTCGTGAGTGCGCACTGTTGGGGGTCCCATACCGGGACGAAACGGCCATCCAGTGCTTCCAGGTTTCCATGGTGGTCTAGCTTCAATTGACTCATGATTTCAACTTGTGAAATTTATAAAAATCTCCACAAAACCCATTCTGATAACACTATTATTATTGAAGAGGAAGTATAGAATACAAGGGACAGGTTGGATGCAACTAAATGATTTAGGCGTTTCAAATGACCTGAGTTTTCTATCCCATGCACTTGAAGAAACAGAGATCAAGACAATCACTATACTAAAAGCCTGTGCATCAGTAAACTCTTTAAACCCCTATAATAATGGTTTTTTAGATATTTTTATGTCTATTACATATTGATATTGAATTCACTTGGTGTTTTTTGTTTGAATCTTCAAATTGATGTGTTAAGACTGGAATTGATCAATCTTTTATTGACATATGTACATCCTGTACGCACTGCCTCGATACTACCATAATTCACGAGTATTATAGGCAAAGATTGATGGTGGCTAGTAGTTGAATCCAGGACGTACGTTTTGTCTTATTTGTGATTCTTTAGACGGGTGCACCTACAACTGAGTTGATGTTCAATCTAGGACTCATACCCAGTACCATTCACTTCAAACGCTATCACATTACCCACTTAACATATCAATATTGTTTATGAGAATTTTATATCATAATCTATATAAGACTTAAATAAATGAAGCATTCATAATTATAAAATAATTAAACTCATCAATAACTCATTTATTCATATAGTTTATTAAGTAGGATAATAAGTTTATTAATTTATAATTAATAATAAGTGTGACATACTTATTTGTTTCAACATTATAATAATTAACATTGCTTTTTATACAAGAAATTAATGTTTATTCTAGAAAAAGGAAACAAAATATAAAAAGAAATTTCCTCAGTGTAAATTAAAATTATTAGGTCAAGTTTAAATTAATGAGTGAGTGAGTGAGTGAGTGAGTGAGTGAGTGAGTGAGTGAGTGAGTGAGTGAGTGAGTGAGTGAGTGAGTGAGTGAGTGAGTGAGTGAGTGAGTGAGTGAGTGAGTGAGTGAGTGAGTGAGTGAGTGAGTGAGTGAGTGAGTGAGTGAGTGAGTGAGTGAGTGAGTGAGTGAGTGAGTGAGTGAGTGAGTGAGTGAGTGAGTGAGTGAGTGAGTAAATGTACTTCCTTCTTAAAGTTAATTTAGTTTCCTACATGAGTTCTTAATTAACTATTTTGTTTTTCTATTTATTTATAATGGTTCATAGATTTTTCTTGTTAGAAAAAGTAAAACACACATTTTATCAACACTGAGATAGTTTCACATTTTCACTAACAAACATTATTAATGTTGAATAAGTTAGTGGCTATATGGACTGATTAGTTTAAAAGATAACAAGTCGAATGTTTGATACAGTAAATGCTACTGTATTAATTTCAATGTAAATATCAACAATGAGATCTAGATATATCCTAGTTAGTGATTCTTGAATAGGACGAAATGAACATTCTAGATTCCTCTACTAATCATAATATAGATATAATAAAATATCTAGCAATAGGTCATATTGAAGCAATTGAGTTAGAATATACAGTTCCTGATAAAGACTAATTGAAAATTTGTTTTGAATGTCAACATCAGGATAATTCAAAACCTAAATGAAAGAAGAAAAAAAACTTTCTATTCACAGTTTAACATGTTCTCTTTTTCTTCCCAACCCAATATGAATTCCATAATTTTAAAATTATATTCTTTATATTATTATTACTGGTAGTAGTAGCTTTATTCAATATTATAATTTTGGTACAATAGAGGATTATCAGGACAAAGTATTATAACAAATTTCCATTTCTTACTTCTTGATTGATTCTGACGATAATGTATTGAATGAACACCAGTTAGACATTAGCAATCCAGTCAATTAACACGTAAATAATGTACATTCTTGTTGTAACGGGTGTGACTGCAGGGTTTGATACGCAGCGTATTTATCGATCGCTTCTGTGGACAGTGACACGTAATACACGTAAGGACGACCTAGTGCCCTGATTGGCCCTGCTTCGCTGTCTGTCCCAACCAGTTGAGTCAAGAACGCAAGTCACAGCCTCTGAGTTATGAATCATTATATTTCAAACATACTCTATTTATATACCAATCAAGCATACCACATCGTACCATAAAATAGAAAACAACATTTACAAAATATTTAACAAGTGAAGTAAACATCGACCAATAGGAAATGTACATTTAAGGTCCAAGGACACCATTGGACTTAACATGATAATTATTGGTCTATTTTTCCGACTATCCTAGCAATTCTTTCCGATGCATATTGTCAACAACCACGATATCTTTGGTTGGGCTTTTTGTAACTTGTACAACGAAAAGTTGTACAGTTTTCAGAAACGAACCTGAATAAGTTATATGATTAATAGTCAGAGTTATGTTTTCAAAACAAACAAAATTAGATAATTGCTGGAAAATTCCCATTCTATTAAAACACAATTATATGAACGAAAAATATTCTTTTCAATGGTGGAGAATATTTGTAGCTCAGGTGGATGGTTTTGATGGAGTTTAGTTCTCTGAGCTGGATGTTTCTTTTCAATAATTTCTCATCAAGTTCTACAGTTATCTCATATCCAAATTAATAATCCATAAAATTGGTCAGATTCAAGGCAAAGTACATCATCTAAAATCATAACATGTAAACCAAGGATTGTTGCTTGTTACGTCAAATCAAATCAAATCGTTAATGTTAACGTTGACTAATATGAAGTGTTAACTTGAATCAGTTTATAAGTGAAATGAAATTGTGAGGTAAATGATCAACATGGGGTGAGAGAGAGAATAATGTAATTACAAATCAGAAATTACGTAATATGTTGAATAATATAAATAAGATCAGATATAGTATTATTATTATTATTATTAGCTTTATTCAATATTATATTATTGGTACAATATAGAATTCTCAGCACAAAGTATTTCAACAAGTTTCCGTTTCTTTCTTCTTGGTCGGTCCTCGCGATAAATACTGAGTGGTCGCCAGCTAGATGTCATCAGTCCGGTAAATGAACATGGGAATGATGTACATTCTTTTCGTTGTATATTGCGAGCAACCATATTCTCTCTTTTTGAGCTTTTTGTAACTTTGATAACGAAAGGTTGTACATTTTTCAGAAACGCAGCAGAATAGGTTGTGCGATTAATAGACATAATGATATATTAAAACAAACAAAAATAGATAACTTGTTGAAATATCTAGATGGCAGGAACAGGTAGCCCAGATGCTCAAGCAGGCCGCCACATGTAGATAGGATTGGATGCTGAATAAATTCCCCAAAAAGGTTAGCGAGTGTAATAATAATAACAATAATAATGGCAGAAATGGTATGATGTGTGGGTAAGTTTGGGACATAGAAATGAACATTAATCAAATTACGTCACCATATTATAAAATTGATTATTAACTAGTTGGCCCCAATGTTGGCCAGGATAAAAGTAGCAGCTGAACATATTACTTTCGGATGCAAAGCTCTGGCTTTTTTATTCGAATAGCAATTACTTCAGCCGTCTGTAGGATTCTCAGTCTAACAGAATTGGGTAGACTGCTGTTAATACAATATATAATTGAGAAAGATTACTCCTTGTTGGCTGCATGTCCCGTCTGAACTAGATGGTCTAAAATGGAGCTGATAACCGTTTTAACTACACTTTTGCATAAAAACACTAAAAGGTGCTTAGAAGCCCGAATATACAAATTCCTATAACATCTCCCGATATAAATTGCTCCACAGGAGCAGTTGAATTGATAAATACAGAAAGAGGTCGGTAGTTTAGGCAATATATCTTTCAACATCGGAGTGATTATTGGACCATATTGTATGCTGATATGCCAAGTATATACGTGACAAGTGTTTTCAATAAGTATGATGTTTATGTCATTATTCTTAATATAGTTCACCCTGCTATTGATGCCGGCTCAATAGTCTAGAGGTTAACTGTTCGCGCATCAGACCTATAGATCATGGGTTCGAATGTCGCGAGCAGGATAGTGGACGAACACTGCTGACGAGTCATACAATAGGACGAAACAGCCGTCCAGTTCTTCCAGGTTTTCAGTGGTGGTCTAACATCAATCTGTTCATGATCTCAATCAAAATCTGGTTCAAGCTTTTTCAAGGACTTAAAAATCGAACATCAAACTTATCGAATAAAAATAGAAACATAACTCTAATCTACTATTATTAAAATAAACAATGAA